GAAAAGAATCTTATTTAGTTGTACAAAGTACTTCAGCCAAAATTTGGGAGCCACGTAAGAGAATTATATATATTAGATCAGAAACACATCATTAAAAGGCAGAATGCTTTGGTGTTTTCAAAACAAAGCAATCGTTGCCACCGGCGGAAAAGAAATACAGCCAAAATTTGGGAGCCACGTAAGAGAATTATCTATAATAGATTATTATTTATTTAAAAGTAAGCGATTTTTTATTATATTAAAAAGGAAAAAAATAGATCATACCATATATTCAAGAGCAACTAAAATTTCGACAATGCAGTTTTCATCTACTCTGATACCCTGAAAAAAATCTATTGTAAAAAGACAAATAAACTTTTAAATTTTATAAATAGAATCGCTTTTAATATGAAGAATCAAATCAAGAAAGAGGGGGCTGAAATCATGCTTTGAAATATTTGTTTAAATAAAGTTGAAAGCTGATATTTTGATCATTTCTATTAATTAAAGAAATAATTTTAAAAAGTGAGATATTTTCCTTTAAATAAACTAAATTAACGTGAAAGGTAATAAATCATAATTTATATTAAAAAAAATACTAAACATATTCAAATTAGGAAATTTAATGAAAACGTCTGCATATATCACATGTCATCAATATAAAATTAGTGTTAAAAAATAATATCGTGCAACAAAAATGCTTTTTAATATTTATTTGTCATTTTTAATGACACATATTGAAATATTGGGACCAAATCTATTCTACTTTATGTTAAGCCACTTATTTTTAAGCTATTTTAAAGCATTTTACAGTAGATTCAATAATTTTTTAAAATTTTTATGGAATATCATATTTTTTGTTCCGTAACATGTTCCACTAAAAACGGAGTTTACAGTAAAAAGTACTGGCAACTTAGTTCCATAATTTTTTACCGTAAATTGAGCCGGAATTTTTTACATTCTACTCATTTTCTGAACTATTGAAATAGGAAAGAAAGAACGAAGCAATTATCTTTTAGTAAATGCTAATTTTTTGACAAATTAGAATAATACGTTAAAAAACATAAAACGAATCGTATAACTTTCGGAAATCATTGTCTGAACTATTAAAATGTGTAAAAGATATAATCTTTTGTGGATACTCACTTTTACCGCAAAATAAAGACAATCTACCACATATTCGGCTAAAGGTGTTAGAAGAGCTAAACACACATCTTCAAAATGGCCTCCTAATTCTGCTTTAATATCTTCAGTCAAAATCTTAAAAACGAAATATTGAATTAGTGCCTTTATTATATTTTCAGAAATTAAAAATCTAGCTTTAGAATAAATACACTATGAATGGTATACTACATAAATGATGTATTAAAATCAAATACATAAAAAAAGTAAATTGAAAAGAAACTACACAAAAGCTGCTTTTAAAAAAAACCTGTTTATAAAGTTTAAACTGCTTCTAGCTAAAAATTCCAAATAAATCAAATCATTATCTCAACATGACTTTTCCAATAACAGTGCTTAATTTATAACTAAAACGTAAATTCGAAGCTACACGATTGTATTAAATTAACTTTGTGATCTTTTAAAATATTTTTTTAGAAATATTTTGAATTTGCTATCATTCTTAGAGTTAATAATTAGAAATTAAGTGCAATTTCCGTTTATTTTTAACGCGTATTGCTTTTATTAAAAATTTCAACAAATATAAAAAATTTCATAAATATGGTAAAATGAAAAGTTTTTTATTTAGTTAAAGATATAACCTCAGTTATTAAATACAGTTTGTAGCAATTTTATAAATTCTCAATACTTTATCAGTTTGTTATAACTAAATATCATAGTATATCACAGTATTTTTGTAATATTATTAAACAAAGACATGACAATTCTTTTTTGTTCCTATTATACTCTTGCACTAAAAGTATTTTTATTAATTTGTCACTATAATGATAATTAGCAAAAACTTTCCATTTAGAGTTCTATTAGTTACGATCGACTTTATGGAGATTCAAAATGGTTACATGTAGTTTTCATCCTCGCATCGTGTTTGACACCCCCCTTCCAATCGCTGAAAGGGAGTGGCTGGGTAGGGCAAAGGGGTTAGTGTATGTTTGCAGTCATTGTCATGCCAAGGACTAGATACAAATTTCGCCAATGTGGGGAATCGCAACTTGGCACCTCATAACGTAAAAATATACCCGTATTTTTAAAAACAAGAAATTCCTATTAAATTTCTTTTAAAAAACAAACTTTTATTTTAAAAAATATAATTTTTAAAAACAAAATTTCCCCCAAGAAATTGCTGAAAAGGTTACAAGCGCACCACCCAAATGTGAGGAAGAGCGTCATGCTCTTCCTCGTTATATATTTTATTCTATAAGTTTCATCGGCAATAAACATTTGGTGTAAAAGCGGCAATAATCGCGCCAAGCTAGTTTACGGGCTAAACAGTAGAATCATATGAGGCTTTGAGTCGAAGGGGAGGGAAAATGAAAACCTGGACCCGAGGATGAAACAACTACGACACCTTCAAAATATTTCTGAATTAATCTGTCAAAACAGTAATTCGAAATCTCACTTATCTTTATTTGAAGAACTGTTTAATATGAAATGACATTATATTTCTAGTGAACTAGAGCTATTGAAATTAATATAATATCAATATTTTATTACCAGATATAAACTACTGCACTGTTAGAAATTTCTCATAAAAAATGATTCTCAGCTTTGATGCAACAATATTTCTTCTTCCCCTAAGACACATGAAGAGTTTCCAGAGTCCTGCCCTCCCCAATTAGTGACCCTGGACTATTAGAGTAGGATAATCTTATTCATGCATAGATGACAGCACACAAAGCTAGTTAGCACAAAAAAGTCAAGTAATTCCCGTCCCTTACGATAGATGAAGTAACCAGATAAATTGTTTAAAAAACATTACAAGGTTCATTTGATAAAACACAATTTTACCACAAACTAACTCCAATGTTCATTACCTAACAAAAACCTTAACTCCAAATCCAATTAAAACTTCTTTTTCGTGGTTTTGAAACCATACTAGTTTTAAATGGTTATAAAACCACATAGTTTTGTATTTATGATCTCTTAACTATGTTGTCAACTGTTTCAAAACCATAATGGTAAAAAATTCTCTTTATCGTAAACTTTAAGGTTAATTAGATCAACAGACTACTGCAGGTTTTTTTAACCATAATTTTAAAATGGAAATTCTAACAGTGTGGTTTAACATAAAATGATATTATATTTCTTTTAAATAGGACTTATTAACTTGCCGATCAATAATAATTACTATCTGGTGGTAACCCATAATTAAAAAAAAAAACTAGATATGTAATTTTTACACATAATAAAGCTTCCAATTTCATTTGATTTGAAGCATTTTGGAAAAATTACTAATTCAGAACCTTACCCGCCCATACATTGTCTTATATTTCTTCTTTATTATTTGTCTTTGAGTACTGTTGTGACCAACCATAATATCTATAATAACTTTTTCATCCGTCCCTAGAATGTAAAGAAAACAGATATAAAATACAAAAAACTGGGGGCTAAAATTGCAATAATCAATATAAGAGTGCATGGAGTACAAATTAATTTTGACTAAATTGAAATCTACCAAGCAATTAAAATATTTGGACAATTTAGAAGGGAAAATAAATGTAAAGTGTATTGAAACAAAAAACAAGAATCTTACATTTAAAGAGAAATAAAGCAAAAATTAAATTATTCTTATTAATTTTATTACCGATAATGATACATATAAAAATTTAACATATAGCATGAAACAATTTCTAGATTCATATAACTCACATTATTGACAATTAAATAAATTGAATGTCTGCTTTCTTCTTCCTAATGTACCTGTGATCGTTATTACTAAGCATTAAAGACAACATTTTTTTGTCATAATATTACTTGGTTTGATTAATTCAACAGTGTATCACATATTGGAATGTATTTCAAGCCATTTCATATACATTTTGTGCATGTTATTAAATTAAAAGATTAATTTTAAAAATATTTTGGTGAACTCTTAAAAACATAACTCTCGTTTATTTCAGCTGTATTTTGATTGTATTTTGTATTATTCAGCTGTATATTGACGGTTATTTTGACTGTATTTAGTTACTTTTAACAAACATTTCGTCACAAAACCAAATTGTTTTCTATGGAAGGCAAACTTGCAAATCTTTAACGAAACCGTTACTTCATTTGTCAGTCATAGCAGAACATTCCAGAAAACTTAATTTTTTTTATCAGAATTTTAAACAATTAGCGAAGTGCTCTTGAAGAGCATGTTAAAATATTTTTAAAGCAAGGTATATGTAAAAGCAAGTATTCAAAAGAGTATATTATTTTTAAGAAAAAAATGTGTACTGCTGAAAGCTTATTTGCAATATTACTTACCGATTCCCCGCATTGCTTTCCGTAGACGGGATGCAACTTTTTCGGCATTAAAGTTGGCAGCTGGTTCTATAGTCCCCTAAAAATCACAACACGAAGTGTTCTGCAAAAACATTTCATGAACAGTATCATAGAGTTTTAATACCATAGTTCTTGAAATAGAAGTTGTTGTTTTTATTTACTCTTTCTAATTTGTTTGGGTTAAAATTAACTAATAAAAATATGTTTCAATTTTTTAAATATTACATCATCTCCTTTCTAACTTTTTTCAGTTACTTTCTTAGATATCTGATTCATTGTATGATATATAATTCCTTCATTTAAAGATTGAAATACATTATGTAATTGCCTCGTACTTTGTAATGCATTATTTTGCTTGAAATGCATTACAGCGCCTATAAATAAGAAGAAACAGGCCCGTTGTTCCACGATGGTAATAAGCTACAGATATCAGATACAGATGCTTGAAAAAGGAAGCTGATTCTTAACAATGGTTGCCCGTTGACAGTATTCCACCGAACGGCCTTCCACACACAATATTCCATAGAAATTTCACTGGTATTTGTGTGGCTATCTATCCTATAGTTCCGATCTTCCTCCCAAATATTTCAACTTGTTCCTGTATCTAAAAAAATTCCTGTCCGGACAAATTTCCACTGACAAATACGCGCAAAAACCTGTGACGCGCTGTTTTTCCACGACGGCAAAATTCTATGATGATAGAATACAAAATCTTGTTCAACTGTATGGCTATATCCTCAACAGTACATATTTCCAAGTAATTATGTTTTTTTTTTTTCTTCTCTTTTATTGATTTTTGCCATCTTGAGTTCAAAAATAAGAGAAAAGTTTTAATAAGATGTCCTCTTAGACAGTGACAAAATACCTACGATTACTCCTTCATTATAGTCTTAGGTTGTTCATCACTGATGATGAAACAAAATTTAATCTAACTGTTACGGGTCCCTTTCAGAAATTAATTTATTTCGTTCATATTGACCTACAGAAAATTCTATAGTTCTCAGTAAAAAAAACTAGCCACTTTGAATAAATTTCGATCTTATTATGGGATCCTCACCTTCTAGGGCTCAACTGTTTAAGTGGATGACTGCAAATATGCTAACTAATTAGTGCAGACATTATTTTAAGTTAAGAAGACAGAAAAACGTACTTTCTCTGAAAAAACGTACCTTTCGTCAACTGATTCGGATTTCTGACCCCCAAAATATAGGAGTTAGGCAAAATCTGGTAAATATGGTACCCATAATTAGTTCAGGAGAGTGATTCAAAGTTTGGAACCTTTAACGCAAATTTTACCTTTTGCTCCATATATCATGAATAATTAGAGCGAATTAAAACTTTTGCTCACAATTATAAAGTCTGTTTATCCAAAGACACTTTTATGCAGAAAAATCAACACTTTCGCAACATTAAGATTGATTCCGAGAGCGTGAAGATCCGATGATTAAATCAAAGGTTATTAGACTTTCAGGGTGGTTCGTAAATTTTTTTGCACACTGTACATCAGAATTTTAGTAATTAATTAATATTTTTGAATGAAATTTGTTTCACTTTATTTGTTGATATGTCTTCTATTGAACTAAGTTAAATTTATGATCATAAATGCTAAAATTCGGTACTAACGTTCCATCGATTAGACGAGCCTTTAGCAACACAAAACTTCTGACATGATATATATAAGCATATATCTTACTATTCCTAAGAGCAAAAACGCTAGTAAGTTTCAATTAATTTTCAGATTTTCTGACTTTTAATTTAATTATAATTCTAGAAGTTATCAAAAAATAATCATAATATTTTTGTCAAAAATGTATTTCTAGATAAATGTATTATATTTGTAAAATTAGAAAAAAATACATAAAGTGTATTAACTGAATTAATGCCTTCTTTCTTAAATAGCGTGAGTAAAACAGTTGAGAAAGCTATTTCCTTTCCATTAGCGAAATAATCTTAATGCAAGGCTTCCTCGTATCTTTTCCAATCAATGCTGTGAATGTAACACCACTAACTTAGAAAAAAATCAAGAAATACCACCGTGTCACGGAAACTTTCTGTAACAAAAACAATGTAATCTTGATTGGGTACATCTTGTTCCATTAGCTTATTAATGAATTCAGTCAGAGAAATCGCGTCTCTTAGCAACAATCTTCAATTAACCCCAGAAAAGATTTTAATACATTTTTGCCACGAGAATTTCACTACTCTATACCCAATATTGGCTTTTAAATGCTTCGGTTTAAGGAGATTTTAAAAGAACTTTAATTCGATTAGCTGTCAAAATACTTTCCATAAATAGCTGTGTGAGGGCATATTTATATTGCAGTAAATAATATTAAGAATTTATGCTTAAAAGCTTTATTTTCGAACCCATTAAAAGCACCACGCATTAAAAATAATAAAAATGTATTTTTAGGTTAGAAAAAAGTGAAAAGTTAGGAAAATTGTTACAATCCAAATAAATTTCCATGCGAATGCTACATTTTAGCCAAAACTACAAGTTTTAGCTTTAAAGGAAATGTATGCTGCATAAATTGTTTTTCTTTTCTTTTTTTTTTTTGTCAAGAAAGATAGTTTAAGGAAAGATACATTTTGGAAAAATTGTATATAATCTTAGAAAAAATATGTCTCACAAAAAATTAACCTTAGTTTTTGTCCCATTTTTTGTTTTCGTCTATTGTCTTGAAATGTATGTTTGTTATTTTCTTTCCTTAGCACAAAGATTTAAATCAGTTATTAAGAGGGTCCAAGACAAAGAAGGTCATGAGCTCTCTCTCTCTCTCTCTCTCTCTCTCTCTATATNATATATATATACATTTGTACGCTTAGCTTAAATATTAATGGAGATATTAAGAGATATTTTGACGGTATATATGGAGATATTTTTACAAAAAGAAATATTTTTTTGTCTTACGTTTTTTTGCTGCAACTTTAAAAATATTCAATAAAATTAAACAAAAATTTTAGAACAATTTTAAACAAATTACCAAATTACAAAATTGTTGCTTTGAAATGTTTGAAAAAAAATCTCTGAAAACTGTACAAGATATAAGAATTTGTTTTTATAAAAATATTCATTTCTCCGTAAATATTTAAAATAAGTTAACGAACTTTCGTACACTTCTTGCATATAATAACCAAAATAACTTTCACAGACTACAAAATTATTACTAACATTTTTTGGCATAGGTTGATAAAAAACATTATTTTCCGCTTGCAATTTATTATTGGTCCCTCAAATCTGTAAAAGCTTTATCCTTTACTGATAGGTACGAGAAATTGTCTTACCTAAACATTTTTAAAAGTATAAAATTATTCTCAAAGTATTTTTTTGAAAAAGTTCAAAAAATTTAGCAAAACAAAACAAGACTTTAACAAAATTATGGAGCTATTTCAGTTTACTTACTTTAAGATATTTAATGCAGTGCTCTTTTGGTTTGATTTTTAAGTGTGCAGGTATGTTTCTTTTTATTTAGTAATAAAATGCCCGCATAAAAATATGCATATTTTTGGAAAAGAATGCTTTTGCACGTTTGAATGTGAAAGAATATATATTTTTTCTCAATTCTATTCGATCCCTAACATTATTCAACATTTTTACTATATAAATAAAAAATAATAATAATTTTTGACTGTAATAAAGTGTCACATTTTTATAATAAACTTACCATAAATAACATAAAGTGCTGTCTCCTAGCGAAATTAACTGTTTGACGTAATAGTTAGTCTGAGGAAACGAAACGTCAATAATAGTTATTGGCTTTCTAGTGTCTGTTTTCTCTTTGTTCCATGGATATCAGAATCAGTTCAATTTTCTGACAAGTTCATTAATTAGATGATTCGGTAAATATAAAATGAAAAGAATCCTCAGTAATATTTTAAAATAGGAAAAGTTTTAAATAATGATGGCCCCGACTGTATAAAAAAAGAATATATTAAAATGAGGATATTGCGTTTTAAATGTTTGAATTAAAACATTTTGACATTGCGTTAGTTTTCAATATTTTCATTTGATCATTGCTTTTTAATATTTTATTTCTTTAACAAAACATTATGAATTGCTAGCTGCTTAAAAGGTCTTTTACAGTCCTATAACATACTACTGAATTGAATGTTAAATTATAGTATTAGTAGTTATAGTACATAAGTAGTATTGTATTTTTCTTCAGATAGATAACTGATGCAAAAACAAACACATATTGCACTTTTAAAACCTTTAGACAACAAAATCACTTAAAACCTTGAGTTCATAACAAAAATTAGCTTCATACATTATTATTACAAAGTGTTTATGAAAATTCAATTGATACAAGCAAAACACTTTATTTAATTGTTCATTCATTTGAGCATATTATTGCCTATTTAACTCAATTACACTATGGTTTAATTTAATAATGAAGAAAAACTTTCTAGCAGAAGTACCTTACCCTATAATAATGGCAAGTGGTAAGCCTGAAACCAAAAAAAAAAAAACAAAAAAAAAACAAAGAACATTTAAAACGAACGATAATGAAACCATTCATTTGGTATTTTTTCCGTACATGTGGTAATGGTTTACCATAAATTCTGGTTATAAAAATTATTGTTCTTATTACCACACATTTAATGAAAAAAAATCTAAAAATTAAATTTAACCGCATAAATGGATTTTATGCCATACTCTCTGTTAGTTATCATGACAAAATCAAGAACTTGTACCCCATTTAGCAAATTTGATCACATATTATAAAACTATATTTTATTGTTAGTTTAAAAAAAATCATTACCAAGGCCCTACTGCAAAAATTAGCGAGGCTTTTTTTCTTCCCATAGAGCAATAATTACGGTAAATTTTACCATATTCTGGCATTTTTAAAAATTATTATTTGTATCGAAAGTGATTTTTGAGAGAAATTACAGTTTTTTTTTATGATTTGCACTCTTTTCCAACCTCCTTATTTTAAAAGGTATTCTTGTTTAAGTTTAAATATATAACTATCATACTTCAGAACATGAAACATAGATGAATCAATATTTAAAAAAAAAAATAATGAGAGGCATAAAAAAAACGCTATCAAACTCTAACGCACCCCAACTGAAAAACTTGAAACATAGTGAGAAAATAAAGGGAAATTGAAGAGAGATAATTAAAAACTCTCCAAATTATAAATGGTTTAAATGCCTTCATACATTTTTCCTTGTTAGTGATTTGACAATAGTTTTTTTCTCATTTCTTCCTCGTTTAACAAATAATTTGCGTCTGCCATAGAATGCGAGTGCGGAGAACACTTTTTGTTTTTAGAAAACTGTTCTTGCATTTTTAAGTTTTATACATACATTAATATATAAATATATATACATATAAAAATAAATACGCATATATACATAAAACTTAAAATAAATTAGCAGTTTTCTAAAAACAAAAAACATGTTTCCCCGAAGGCTACGATTTTGGTGCTAATGTGCAAATGTTTTTGACAATGGATCTAAACGTATATATTGAGAACTGTAATTACAAGAAAACATGCATAAATTTATAATTTACTAATTTACCAAACAATCACGCTTTGGATTAAACAAAATATATTTTTATAAAAATAAAATATACATCAATCAGCATTGAAGTAATATGTATTTCTTAAAATATTTTGTAAATTTGGGTAACCTCGATATTTTTCAAAAAATTTGCTTGTTGAGAACATACAACAGATGATATTTCTTTTTTTAATTAATTTTGCACAAAATGAAATACTTTTTATTACAATTCCACTCACATATAACACATGCTTAACTGTTTGCACTTACTTCGTTGTGACTGATTCAAAACAGATCATACGAATAATCAAGGGCAGACACAGAATTTGATGTATTATATCGGAAGTTTGTGTACTCAAAACGGATACATAAAAACGGTGATAATTTGATATTTCCGTGATTTCGAACCTATATTCATTATGAAATTACGACAGTAATTCTCTGTGATGAAATTAACTTACAATCCTTTATTTTAATCATAAGTATATATTTCTCTAAACATTCAGGGACAGGAGTTCTCAAATGTTCTAAGTCATATTTTTACAGTCTCTTTTATATTTTAGAGTTCATTCTTGAGCTTAGTTAAAAAACATATTCTTAAAAGTTAACTCTTAAAATGAACGTTGGGTAATTCCATGGTTTTTTTTCTTTCTTGAAAAATTGAGATTATTAAATATAAATGTCAGAAAAAGTATTTTTGTAGATATTTTTCTATGCTTAAAATATCTGGAAAAAAATGAATTTTCTTCTTATTTAAAAAATTCCTGTGTAAATTAGTTTTTTCTCACTGTCTTTTTGACGCCAAATTTTTGCATAATTTTATCTCAAGTCAAATTAATTTCTTGAAAGAGTCTAATAAATCTAATACTCAGCAGCTTATTACAGTAAAACGATTTACTGTAAATTATTACAGTAAATCGTGTTTTTACCTGAAATCGTCTAGAAAATATCGTATTTTCTTAAACAGGAATATTTATTTTACAGAGAAAATGATGATTGCACACAATTTTAAAAAGACCCATTTCGTTTTCAAAATTTTAATTTTGAATTATTATTTTTGTGTAAAACCAAAGTATAGAAAAACAGTCGTAACTTTTTTTTTTGCAAAAATAAATTGAAAATATTGCATTTAGCTAATTTTTTTATACCTCTTTAAGTGAAACGAAATCCAATATTTTGCCATTAAATATATTTAATACCTAAAAAAGCCTTCTAAAACATCTAATTTTATTGAAACATAAAATTTGAAATGAAAGAAAAATAGAATATTTTTAACAAGCGGTTTTCAGATAACAATAACTTTAGGAAGTAACTTGAAGAATAGTTTTCAAATTTTCAATTTCTAATTTTGCTTGGTTACATAAAATAAAATTTAGAAAGACAATTTACAGCTCATACCAAACTTTAACTGATGTGTAAAATGTGAAGAAAAAATTTTCTTATTTAAAATTGGAAGGTATTGTTTAACATTATAGCATAATATAAATATGATACTGAATCTCATGTATCTAACAAAATCGTAAACTCTGTACTATAGTATTTTGGAGAAAAAGAGCCCAACGGTTTCTATTTTTTTCTTTTTCTAGGTTTGTTAAAAATAAACGATATGAATATTATAATGCTTCAAAAGCTATTAAATAACAGTTAAATGTGAATAATAAAAACTGTATTTTCAAAATTTTGAAATATATTTATTAATTATAAAAGAATAAATGACTTAACGCTAACCTAATCAAATTAAATTATTTAATTAACGAGAATTAATTAAAATAGTATGTTTCTAACGCAAAATTCTCAACAGGAACAATGACCTTTTTTAAAGTTTTTCGATAAGTTAAATTGCTAGTGACACTTGTTGCGATAAAGAATTGATTCTCAAATAAAAATGCTTACTTTAAAAAACAATCAATTTTATCACCTTATGATGATAATAATATTTATATATTGGGTAACAGGAAATACTCAATTTGGAAGACGAAAAAAAATTTAAATAAGCTTATGAAAACATTATCCCTAAATTATGTACTTACCCTACCCTTGGAGTCGTCCATGGCTTCGCGTGAACTGAAAGAAATATTACGCTACATCTTGGTTATATTATAGTTGTTGCTAAGGTAACATCACGCACATTTAACGAAGCGGGGCTTTCACTAGCTTTTTCTGGCTTTAACCTTGCCTCGAACCCATTCGACGCAATCACCGTCACTAATGTGAATTAAAGGATAGAATAGACACATAACATCAACAGAAAATGTGCAAAGATACTATGAAGGAACTATTTTTAGATATTGTAGAGTGCTTTTTTTATATATTTTGCTACATTTTTTATTATTAGAATCGGCTTTTTTACGTTAAAAATTAAATAATTACAATTAGAATGAAATAGGGCTAATGAAGACAAATTTTATAAAATTACCAAAAAATTTACCTATTGTCATTTTGAACATCAACAGAATAAGTGCGAAGATACTCTAAAGGAACTTATTTTTAGATATTATAGGGTGTTTTTTTTTAAATATTTTTCTGCATTTCTATTATTACAATCAGTTTTTATACTGAAACAGAAAGATAATAACTATAGATAAAAAATTTTATGTTTGTGTAAATGAATGTGTAAATGAGATTGTGCTAGTGAAGACAAATTTCATAAATTTGCCGAAAAATTTACCTATTATCATTTTGAACATCATTAGAACAAGTGCAAAGATACTCTAAAGGAACTTATTTTTAGATATTATAGGGTGTTCTTTTTAAATATTTTTCTGTAATTTTTATTATTACAATCAGTTTTTATACTGAAACAGAAAGAGAATAACTATAGATGTAAATTTTTATATGTACGTGTGTGTAAATAGGATAGAGCTAGTGAGGACAAATTTTATAAATTTGCCAAAAATTCACTGATTATCATTTTGAACAACAATAGAACAAGTTATATTTAGCTATATTTTTTATAACTAAAATCGACTATTTTACTGAAACAAAAATGAATGCAAATGAGATAGAGCTATTAAGAACAAATTTTAAAAATTTGTCAAAAATATTTGCCTAGTATTATCATTTTGAACATTTCAAATCTTTTTTTTTTCTTTTTACTAAAGTTAGAGTTTTTGTTTTTAATTTGAATGATTCATTGGAAATTTTGGATGTATATTTCTTTTAAGATATTACTTTTGTATAAAAAAAATTGCTTCTTTCTTTTTTTTATACTATTCCTATGCCTTTGAGCTATCATTAAGTTAATTAGTTTTTGTATTGTTACTAGTAAAAGAGCAAGCAGAATCAAAGAAAATTTATTTTAACCTAAAAAAATAGTATTTAAAAATTAATCTTAATAATACTTTTATTAATGCTAAAACTTAATAAATATTAATATTCTAACCACGTTTGGTGAACAACTTGGTCACCTTTACGAAGTGAGTGATCTGATACTCTTCGTTGCTTTCTGGTAATATGTCATCTCAATAATTAAAAAAAAACTGCTGAACAGAATTCTTAGCATAAACTCGTAATATTGAAAATAATACTAAGAATTGTAAGAAGTTTAAGGTCATTTGCTGGTGAATGAACTCTTCTTCTGCAGCATGCGTTGATGAGCCTGGATTTCTACAAAAACTTAAAGCAGAGAATCTTGCCGAATGCCAGATGTTTCCAAAATTTGATTTTAAAAAATGGACAGAATATAATTACTTGATATATTTTCAAAAAAAAAAAAAAAAGCATGCGATCAAAAAAAATCACAATATTCTTTAAGCGCCTAATAATCTCACTACCGAGAAAATCTGATACATTTTTAATCGCACTAGACAACAAAACAACAGCCAAAATTTATGCAAATCGTTTGATATTTTGAAATCAAAATCTAACGAACACTTCGTAAATATTTTTAACTTTGCATAGTAAAAATCGATGTAACTTCACAAATTAAATCATGGAGATGTTTTTATAATTACACAATCTGAAGTTGCCTTCCTATTGTTTTATGCCAACTATTTGACAAAAATCTCAATGAGCAAAGAAGATCCATCATTGGTTGCCAACTAACGAATCATATTGGTATGGTAGTTTTGTACCCAAAATTGGCTACTAGTGTATAAAATTAAGGTCCCTACAAACTATTTACTTATCCCTTATCTAATTACTCTCAATTTGCGCTTTTCTTTTCATATTTTGCAATCTGGCAATCTTGTTACGAAAATATTTTAAATCATTCTTGAAAAATTTCCCGTTCATGTAAGTACATTTGAATTCGCTACTCGCTTTATAGATTATGTTTTATTCTCTCTTTTATTTCTATTTCATTTTATTTTCTGTTTTTACGTGTAATTTTACTTATTGTGTTCGATTTTATTTGATGAAATTTTTGTAAAAAATTTTTTGAGTACTCCTCACACTATTGTATTGATATATTTTGCTTTGGCTATTTTGATACTATGTCAGAAAGCACTCTTTTTTGCGGATATAATCGTGTGGGCTGATGAAAAGAATACATCTTTTATTTTCCGGATTTCTAAAAAAAATTTTATCCTTTTTTTTTCTTTTTTTTTCTCCTGTTGACTGCTATTTTTTAATTATTATTTTTCTTTTCCCCCCTTTTTTCCTATGTCTATAATTTTCCTTTGTTTTATCTTCATTTTGAACTATGGAATAAATCTTTATTCAGCATCCCTTTTGTGAAAAAAAACATTAAAATGAAAGTAAAAAATAAATACACGGGTTTTTAGTGCATTTATTTCTTTTTACAAAAATTTCAGTTGTTCAAATTCCAGAAAAAAATACGACAAAACTTGAAAAAAAAAACATAACTCAAACAGTTGAGGTAAACGTAAATAAAACAATACAGCTAGCTTTAGATCTTTTATTTTCTATCTACAAATATATTGTAATGTTTATATAAAAATGATGACATCAACCAATAGAAATTAACATTATTACAGTGCAGAAGAATATAGGATACTTTTCGTTTAATTGGTGCAAGAAAATTAAGAAAAAAAATTCTTTTTACTTCTATTTTTATTGTTTTTTTTTATTTATTTTATTTCACTAATTCGAAGATGTCCATTTTGCTCAGCGTTTAAAAAAAAATTGAAAAAAAGTTTGTGAAGGTCTACATTTTTTGACGACTTTTCGTTTGAGGCCCGGCTAACCTAAAAGTACCAAATATAGTTTCAACTTTAGCATACTATATTTCAGATATGAGTGCAGTTTTTGCTAGTTTTAAGGTATCACCGTTTTTATAGATACAATTTCTGGAAATGAAACAAATGCTGCAAGTGTGCGATGATCATCCCAAGACACTATTTTCAGTATTATAAAGTGTGAAGATTCCGGTTTTTATTCTGGCTTTCAAATCAGGAAAATTTCTAAAATAACCATGACATGAATTTTTCAAGTAATTCAGAATGATGTATTTATCATCCAATCTTCATAGAAGAAAATTCTCAAGCATCAAAATGTCGCATAGTGTTTTAGAGTTTTTGCTTCCTCGAAATCGTATTATTTCTATATGCTTGTCTTCAAAAGTACTTCTGTGATACAATCTAGGAAACATAACATAAAAGACCATTTCAGGTTAGGAAATATTAGGTATTTTTCCTAATATTTCCGCACTGTTGAAATTCTTAAAAATCGTAAATTTATCAAGCAAAATTATTCATATAAAAGCTTTTTATAATGATATTGAAAACTTCATCACCGTATCTCATATGATGCACGGTTCGGAGACCTAGGTTTTTTTTTAAGTGGAGCAAAATTTAATTGTGATTTTCCACTGCAAGTTTGTACTATGCCTGTGTTTTTAATGTACTAGTTTAATCACTCAGGAATAGATGGCGACGTAATGCATTTTAAATCATTTCGTTTAAACATTTTTGCACTGTTTCTGATTCATTTCAGAAATGTAAATAAAATATTTATAGCAAAAAAATTGATATTTTAGCGTTGCATAGAGTTATAGAACGTTTCTGGAATATTATAAGTTTCTTATACTTCTATAAATATTTTAAATATGTAGTATTCATTGTATTTTTGTCATGATTCGCACAGTGGGCAAAAAATACAGATAGTTTCTGTGATATTACTATGCAAAAAATTATATTGAGAAGCGTATATATCATTCTAAACTTGAAAGACGTTACATTTCAAAAAATTAATTGCTGTCTATTATACCCTTGAAATTTTGGACAGTGATAACATATATTTTTAAATGTTTAGCGAATTCCACAAAGCACCAGAATAATTACTTTCATATCTAAATTAAAACCTAAAACTAAAACAAATTAAAAAATTTTCGGGAAAGTTATTTGTTGTATATGGTATTTTTCATCGCGAATAATTACAAGGTTAAAATATTTCGATTTGTAATTGCAGTAATAGAAATAATTTTTACAGTACCACAATAAAACTGAGTATTGAATATTATTTGATACAAAATGCTAATTTTTATATTTCTATGAAGTTACAGTTCGTTAAATAATTTAAAAAAGCAGAAAACTATTAAAAAAAATGTAGATAAAATTATTACAAATACAATGTTAAAAATAAACATGTTAGAAAAATGCGCTGAATATCTGCATGAGTTTTCGATGTTTATGATCGTCAGAAGTGCATAAATGAAAGATATCACATCTGGAATCAACCTACAAAAGAAAGCATTCTATGAAACATTATTGTATTACAACATTAACAAACAAGCCAATTTTGGGTAGGAAAACAGGTGCTACTTTTTCTTAAAATTCAAACATTGGAATCGGGGAGATTGGGTTCTATAGGTCTGCTTTTGAATTCTATAATTTTTCTAGGAAATTTCAATTCAAACTGCTGGAAAATTTCTGAATACTACAAATTTTTAAGCCTGTCCATAAATATTTTCAGATCATCAATGACAGATAGAATCTTTTGAAGATATTTACGTTATACATTTCAGACCTACAAAAGTTAAGTAATTTAAATTAATTTTTTTTTTGGCTTTGGATTAATACATTTTCAAGAAATACAATTTCTGAAGAAAAAAAATTAAAATAAAATCATAAGCTCTTTCAAACTTACTATAAAAATTCATTTCCTTATTACCCATTGGCAAAATGGGTCTTGTTTTGGATTTGATGGAGTCCACACTTTTCAACTGTGTTCAAGAGTAATAGTAAACAGTGCGCATGCGTCGTCATTGATGCGTGCTATGGCGACAGCTGCTGTTTTACTTTTCATTTTCCCTACCAGACATTTTTAATGTATTTACATAATAATAATTTAAAGCATTTTTATATTCTTTTTATTATTAACATATGATTACTGGCTAGACGGTGATTTTAATATAAATATGAATGCTGAAGAAGGAAAAGTATTTTGTGACGTCTTGAAACATAGGTAGGATGTGAAGGTCAATCCAACGCCAACCATCAATTGAGACAGTTTGAAATGTTGTGGCGATTAGCAGAGTCAATCCAGTATGAAAAAGCATTTTACCAATGGATAACCAGTGATCGTAAATAAGGAAATCACAACTTTTTTGTTGATTTTTTTGAATTTAAAATCTTGTAAGCGAAACTTCAAAATAATTTAAAAGTAACTTGACTAGGGTCTGATTAGAAATTACGATATCCAATTGTAAATGACGATTTAATTATGACGCGTTAAGAAGATTTTCTTCGAAAAGAGAGCATTTTGTTACTTTTATTTTCATTTGGCAAAATGCGTAATTAACGCAGAAAAATAATTTATTTCAAGGTAGCATGCATATATATGATACCTTGATTCAAGTATGATACAGATGATACTTTATATCATATTCAAGTATCATATATATGATAAGTTAGTATCTTGAAGACCCCCGATTCAGATCAATAGTTATCAGTTTGTCTTGAAAGTAAAAGGTGACCGTTGCAAAATGTTGACAAATGCCAAGACATTTTTCAGCAATGCGGTGCAAATGGGATCATGATTCCATTAGTCACGAAATTTTGGAGGCAGCCCTCTATGCTAGAGCTTCAATTTACTTTTAAAATTTTAAAACAAAGATAATAATACACTGAATAATATTTGTAACTCACAAGGTCAAATTTTTCTTTAGTAGAATCCTAATTGCCTATTAAAACTCAAACTTAAAAAAATGGTTTACGAAAATATTTTTCTAATTATTTTTTAAAAAATTATGCATTATTTTTTACATTAAAGCATTTTTAAAAATTTATGGAAGTAAAATACACCCGTTTAAGTATTAAGATTGAGACACTATAAATAGTTTAAGCTAATTCGTGACGAAACTAATAAAAAAAGCTTTAAAATTTCAATCTGGAAAACAAAAAAGAGGAGAATAAAATTTTAAAATTAATATTGATTTCTATTCCTATTGATTTACACGCACTAATTTGTAATTCTGGAACATCCTAACTTGACTGATTCTTTGAATTTAATTTATACTAACTAATAGGCATATAAGTAAGTTTTCCAAAATATGAAGATAGCTTAGTACGCCAAAATATCATTTCTCAGAGACAAAAATTTCAGCAAAAATACATTTTCTGATATCAACACCGAAAGGAATCAAAAGAAACATTCATTTGATGTGAAACAATTTCCACGAGTTTAAAAAACGTTTTCCCGTGAGAACGCAAAAGCACTTTAACTATTAATTTATGAATCACAACCAACGCAATCCTCAACGTTATATCGCTTAAAACTTATTATCCATTAAATCTCACATTTTTGAAACATATCTTTCTTCTCAAACAAATAAAGGCAGGCAACTTAGCCATTTAATCAATAAGATTTATTTTAGTAAAAAGAAGTCCCACCATTTAATAGTAACAATAAAAATATTTTTGCTTTCATCTCAAATAATATAAGGTAATTTTTTTATAAACATAATGTATAGCTGATACTTGAAAATGTTCACTTAGGTTAAACCAAGATAATATTCTAACACCTTTTCCATAAAAGCACTTTTAATATTTTTTTTTCATGACCCGCCAGGGGAATGACCTTTCGTCATACAGGTATCTGAAGGGTAGGTTTGTTGACCACTTTTTCAGAGGAACCATATTAGGTGGGCCAACGTTGCCCCCACAATAAGGACAGATAGTACAGAGAATGAAAAAACATTCTTTGCTTTGCCCGGGATTCGAACCCAGAACCTTTCTGATGCAAGGTCAGTTCCCTGACCCCTACACAGGCCCGTTAGCTTTAACTTCCATATAAAAATGCGAATTTCTGTCTCTTTCGCAAGAAATAACAAAAAAGATGTGGCAAGATATATTTATTTGAAATCAGATATACATTGATTTATTTAAGAGTACTTACTCTCTTCTTTAACTGGTTCTTCATCAGCACTACTCTCTTCTTTAAGTGGTTCCTCATCAGCACAATTATATGTTGGGCAACATTCTCCAGTATTGAAACTTCCAGGGCAGTGGTCATAGTCATTGTTAGGTGGATTTGGACAGATCTTATGAATGCAAGTAAAGATTGGAGGTGCTTGACACGTGCAGGTCACACAATGCGTTGGATGATTTATATCCAGAATCTGTCCAAGCTTGTAATGTAATCCTTTGAATTCACATGCTGTGCCACTTTCTAAAAATGTCAGCAATATTTAAAGTTTACTTTAATCTTTGATAGACGTTTAATAATATTATTCTGCTTATTTACAAGAGAAAAAAAAATCTTTAAAAACTTCACAAATTTGTTACTTACCGATATCATCTTGAGTTGCTAGTGGCTCAGTGGTGTTTTTATATCCTTCTTCTTCAGTCCCTGTTGAAGTAAAAATTATTTTTCTGTTAATTTTTATTATAAACGTATAACCCAAGTTATTCGGAAAGTAAAAGTGCAATTTCGTATAAAACGTAAATAATTAACAGATTTTTTCCTTTTTTTTGTATTTAATGCCTTACAATTTCTTCCTTATCCTGTAGAGTTCATATGCATAATATTTTGTCATTACGTTCTAGAAGTTTTGCAGGCATAAGTTGTAGAAGTTGCTGTTGTTGGAGCCTTATTCCACTTGCCAATACCAGCTAGCCTATTTAAGACAGAAGGGTGCGCTTCTTCTTATTTTACAGTGGCACCATCTATGTACAAGAATTTGACTTTTACCACAGACATACGTCACATCCCATTTTAAAGAAAGGATTCTTTCATACATTCGCAGATCGTAATTTTGACCTAAACCAGAGAATGATCAATCTTCGATCTAGTACCCCTGAGTTATTGATTTGTTATAGGAACTTGGAGAACTTTGTGATCCCAACATATTTATCATGCACCATTCTTCGATCGGAAATATTAGAATTCACGATATCTCAGGCATGGGCCTAACGCCCAAACAGCCAGGCTATTCCAGCCTAGTTGTAGAAGAAATTATCAGTGAAAAAATTATCAGGCTTGAACTCTGCTTTTTTCGCCTTCTCATCTATGGCGAAGCACTTGCCAATGAGAAACTCCTTTAAGTAGAACTCCTTTAGACTCTTTAGGTAGATTTCTTAAGTTAAGGAACTAGGTTTTAAGTCTGGGTGGAACAGTGGTCAATCAGTTACCCTGCAGACGGTTTTATCAGATTTTTGAAACGGAGAGTATAGCAGAATTAGGTCTGACATTGCATGCAGCAACAAGACTCCAGTTATCAGAAGGTCATGTCGTTTCATCTTTATTGCCGAGTCATATGTAAAACTAATCACTTACTACATTTAATAGTCTGTAGGCTGATTAGTTATTTTAAAATTAAAAACTCAGTGTTTTCTTTAAAATTAAACTATAAGCATTATGTTTATTAAAAACAAAAATTTAGTTTTTAATAACAATTCAATTTTGAACAATTTCCTCACTTTCCCGCCGAGCACTACCGTCGTGAAAGTTATTCATTGCGTTGTATTATTATTTAGCATGTGTAAATCATGCTGTTTAGTTAATTTTCGGTAGACAAGGAGACAATATAGTTAGTTCAAACTTCGTTTGATTAAAAACCATCTATCCAATCCATGTAATTTGAATTCTCTTCCTCTTCTGATACCGTACTTTTCTAAAGACTGAGGTTCAGTAGACACGATGATCGGACAGCAAAGACATTAAATAGTTTTTAAATTATATTTTTTTAAAATCATATTTTTTAAACTAAATTTCTATCTAATTAAAATATAAGAAATGAATAATTTTTAAACTATTCTCCTTTGCTGACCACCTTTTTGTTGAAGACGATATGCATGTTGTACTACTAGCGCCACATACATTAATTAGAAAACAAAGTTACTTCTTTAGTTGGTTCCATAGCGTCTACAGAGATGGACCAATGCGCAGTATATAATAAAAGCATAAATTATTAATCCGCAATTCTTTCTTTTAGTTGTCATTTATCTAAAATCCATTATTTCCACGAGCTCGTAAATAAGAACCACGCAAACCAGCAAACGCCTATCAAAGACAAAAATTTATACTTTTCGTTTATCAAATTTACTTATTTCGGGAAAATGTGCCCATTGCTTAACATCCTTGTTCAGATTATAGCTTTTAAAATGTTGGGGATACATTTGAGCTGTAAAATCTTATGTGGAAATCAAAACTCTTTTAATCCTTTGATTCTTTCAAAATAATCAAAAGAAATTTCGGTTTTGCTTAACAAATGATCAGTTTTTGTTTTTCATTCTACAAATTCCTTTAACCCCTTAAAGGTGACATATATTTCAGAGAAATGGAAAAAAAATTGAAAAATTTTTCACTGTTTAATTTTGCTCTTTATAGTACTATAAAAGTTAGAAAATAGTTTATTTGGAAAAATAAAATGTTAAATACAATAACTACTGTATTTATAATTTTTACATACACGTAAAAAAGTAATAGATCGCACACACACATCTTATTCAATTAGAGCAAATTAAACAAAATTTTGAAGCTAAATTTAATACTACTAGTATAATATAATATAAAAACATAACATTATAATTTTCAATACATAAATTTTTAAAATCTTTCACAGTATGGTATATCCCAAAAACCCCACCCACATTTCCCTCCCTCGACTGAAGTCATAATCTAAAACTAGGATGACCAATGCCATCTATTAGGAAAATAGTGAATTAAGTATCCTAAAGTGAAAACGAACTCAGCTGGGGCTTCACAAAATAGAAACGTTAATTTTTCTTCAGCTCAAAGTCAGTTCGCGCATCACAAATGCTGCACTTAGTAGTTGCCCGAACAGAAATCGGGCGATACTGGCAAGGGATTAATAAAAAGTTATGTTTCAATGGGAAAAAGTAAACATCTAAAAATTAAAAAGAAAGAAAGAAAAAAAACTAAAAGTCCTTTTAAACATATCGATTTTCATAAATATATAATTAGATTTTTTATGTTCTTAACGAGACGTTCAATGACTATTTCAAAAGAATCTTTCATAAAGAACATTTCATAAACTGTTTCCATTATAATCTCTATATTAATAAAATATGATTATCTATATTAATATGTATACTCATCTTTACAACACAAATAACAATAATAATAGTAAAATATTTTAGCAAAAATAAAAAAGCTCACCACAATGATATTCTATAGGACAACAAGTGGCTTCGTGATATATTGGTATACACCCTTCTTCTAGCTCCTTTCGGTCTAAGTCCAAAGCACAATCAATAGTGGAACAACTTTTTCCTCCAATGCCGCTCCATTCTTTGTTGCATATACAGATTTGGCATGGATCTTCTTCTGGATATATTTGTTCTCCGTAATGATAAATCTTACCATTGTAATCGCAAACATTTTCTTAAAAAATGAAGAAAATTCATTTTGAGACAAATAAAAAATATCATAAAAATAGAACATGCATGGATATAAAATGTACAAAACAGCAGTATTTTCAAACACATTTTAAAATATATCATGTTTTTAAGCCCGGGTAAAATGAAAAAAAAAAATTGAACATTTGATAAACAAACTAGGATTCGAAGACGAAAAGGGCATCAGTTATCTTTTTGATATTTGTAACTTAATGAAATATACTTTTTGCTTCTGTAATATATAAAAAGTTCACTAAAAATATTTAGTCAACTTAACGATTTTTTAATAAACTTCGCAAAATTTAAGATATTTTTTTATCGTAATATTTCCGAAGTATTATTTTGTAACAGTTTCGCACTCCTGTGTATGTTAAAAAATCAAAGGGCCAACACTTATTTAATGTAACAAACTTGTACTAAAAGACTGTTTTTGTACTATAAGTCTGACTTTTGCGCTAACTATAAGACTTAAAAACTGGAAATTATTACGGTGCGCAAGAAAATGTTCAGAAAGTAAGATAGAATAAAAAAATTAGCATTCGATTATTAACTTGAGAATTATTAATTGTTAAACGCGTAGGTAAATAAATAACGTAACCATTTCAAGTACTAAAAGAGCTTTTTTGTAAACTTCAAATTAGTTTTTGTCTTTCAAAGTTCTTATTTGGTTAGAAGTTATAAAATATATAAGTGCGTTTTCGTGAATTCCGTTTCTAGTTTTTTTTTTTTTTGCTTTAAATGCTGATTATTTATCCATTATTGTATTTTTTACTTGTATTTTTGTAATATATTTTTTCGAACACTAGATCTTTATTCTTTTATTTTATAAGCTCGCTCTCAAGTAGATGTCAGTGAAAAGTTTAAAAAAAAAAAGAGGCTACATGTTGTCAGATATAAATCTTAACATTACAATTGAAATTTTTAAAAACAAAAGAAAAATGTAATAAAGAGCAATAAAAACAGTTCCCGATTTGAATTGTTATAAGTGTTGCCAACGTGTAAAATTACTTCTCATTTATTTCTTCTTATTGAATCACTCAATCACAGTGTTTGCTAGACTTATTGAGAAGCCTCACAAATATCACACCATCATATTGTTTGTTTCTATTGTTTACATTTATTAAACTTGTTTGTTATTAAATATTATTTTATTCGATGCACCATTCTTTACTGGGGCATTCTGCAATAGCCAGGTACGCACTATGTTTCTACAGAGAGGAAATCAAAATTCAATGTGTTTTTGCTAAACTACGCGCTTTTACATACTTCGCAGTGCCGGAATTTAAACTAATTATAATTAATTTAATTAATACTAATTATAAACTAATTAAAATATTATTTTGCCTTTTTATTTATATCAAAATTCCTGTTTATTTGAAAAAGTAGAGAATTTTTTTAAAAAAATACATTCAAATATTGGTTTGTTTGTAATTGTGATTGGAAAAGTGTTATACCTTTGTCGTTTGCTTCATCTGTTACTGTAAATAAATAAATAAGAATTAGATTGAATATTATTTTTAAAATAATTAGACTAATATTTTACTTTTATACACTATAAAAAATTCCAGATCAAGCTATGATGAAAAGTGTTGCCAATTTGGATGCATCATCCGCAAATTTTATTTTACCTTACAATCTATTTTTGCCGTATAGTAGTTCATCGCAATTTTTACTGTAATATTCATTTGATTTCAATGATTCACTGATTTTACTGCAAACATTACTGTAAAAATTACGATCTATCAGATATTTGTTCCGCAAAATTTATAGTAAAAGAACTGACACCCTGCTGCCAGTTCCACTTTTTACTGCAATTTGCCGTGTCCAAAAAAGTGTAGAACTAAGTAACGTTTCAATGCACAGAAATTAATAGATATGGAATGAATGCAGATTGCAGAAATAATATTTCAATTTTTTTTTAATTAAAAAATATTATTTTAATAAGAGAATATTATTTGCATTAAATATATATCATATTCTGAAAAAAATTTCTGTTGAAAAATTATTCTACTGAAAATCCTATAAAATATTTTTAAAAGATATAATTTCAATAGAAATTTTTTTGATAAAATATTCCTTTTTCAGAATTTTTTTAGTGTATAACTTAAACTTTATATCTTGAATAAGATGCGTTTATATTTTAAGTATGTCGTAAAGCAATTTTTTTTTAAATTACGTAACAATTGAATTGAAAACCAATTTTTTAACCTATGAGTCCAAATACTCGAATACTATGTTCAAATATGCTTTAAATTTTGAAGAAAAAAAACTATCATATATATTCATTTTAATGCACAAAGAGTTCGTAATGTTTCTTACAATTTTTTCTAAATTTTTGCATAGTGGTTCATTATGGAGTTAAAGCTATAATCTTCAAATAAAATCTTGCTATTATTTACTTAACTACATTAATTTATTTTCTTTGTAATGTAAATAAGGCAGTAAATATAAATCTAAAAGGTTGCCTCCTTTCATTATAAAAAAAAAATTCATCACATGAGTTCATATTTTTTTAATTAAAATGTATTAAATTTTAGATTTTAGTTTTACACAACTTACGAGCTATCTGCAGAATAATTCATTGCTTATGAAGTATATATTAAAATGTTAACTATTACTTATACTTCTATACGAGGTATTAACAACCTTAGTAAACTTTATTAATAAAAAATTTCTGATATAGTATCAGATTTTTTTATAATACTTTTTAAATTTTAATATTTCAAATTTCGATAAACAATATGGCTTGACAGCTAGTATCATGTTAAAATCTTACATGGAGAAAAATAATTCTTGTTAATTACTTCACTGTATGGTAATGATATTTCTGATGGAAAAAAAAGACATAATTATGGTTAATGAAACCAAAATATGCGATAATTTAAACCATTTAATATTTTTTCCGTTCATATGCTAACAGTTCACCGAAAAATTCTAATTTTCAAAATTATAGTTCTTATTATCACACATTTATTAAAAAATACAAAACTGAGAATTAAACTAAATTGATTAAATGGTTTTTATGCTATGCTCTAAGGTATCATGATAAAATTGCCAAGTTTTACCACATTTTCTAGATTTTTTCTCATTTTATTATTGTTATATTTTATAGTTTCTTTTACCAAAGCACTTCGGAAAAAAAATTGAGATTTTTGGTGTTACCATAAGGCTGGAAACACGATAATTGTTACCATAATCTGGCAATTTTGATCATAGTTTTTTTTATTAGTGTACGACGTTACCTAAATTGTTATTTCAATCGTGAAATTTGATCATTGACTCAACAGAATTGAGTTAGAAAAAATTTCAAAGATTTTAGGAAAATTTACTAAATTTCTCTTTACTATTCATACTTTTAAATTCCATTTCGATTAGGATTTTGAATCCTTACTAATTTGGAAAATAATTATAGAATTCCTATTTCTTAGTTAAATAACAAATTTCTTGGCGCGAAACTAATTGTTTTTCACGTGATTTCTAAGTAAATAAATATTTTCCCAGATTGCTATCAGCCTAACGGCAAACAGTTGTGTTTGCAGTTGTGTTTTCTTTTGACTGACCCAATAAGGTTAAATGGTTAATCATTATTCTTACAGAGCCGAAATGTTACAATACCCAATACCAATACTAGCTTTTTAAGGAAAAACCTAAACTAAGAATATATAATTTCTTGGCTGGGCTAAATATGGCTGGGTCGCGCAGTTGGTTTGTCGTCGGCGTTCAGAGCCCAAGTCTGCGGGTTCGATCCCCGGCCCAGACACCGGATTTTCGGGATGGGATGCAGAAAATCCTCAACGGCCATGTCGTATGATTATGCGGCATGTAAAAGATCCCTGGAGTGCCTTATTGGCTCTTGGCATTTCCGGCAAAATTAAATTCCTAGTGCACTTTAGCATCTGAATAGAGTCTCGGCGCTGCCATCTAGTGTGGCAGATACTAGACGTCCAAATTAACATGACCAACGGTATCTCACTCATTGTGGTGGTCCTGAAAGAGTAGATACCACCTCTGGAGAACGCACTATGTCTGCTCATCTGCAAGACCGATTGTGCAGCTCATTGGAAATAAAAAAAAAGCTTTTAAAGGATAAACCGATAAACCTAATCTAAAAATATATAATTTCTTAGCTTTTATTGCAAGCTGAACTGTTTCTGAACTTTTTTCCTATTGTATGCTAAGATTCTCAAACGACTCTCATGGCGAACCTTATTGCTCATGAACTAGCATAGATAAATTTACCATTGTTTCAAGCTTTCATAGTTTATTTGATAATCATTAAATAGCCATGTTGTGGTTTTTGGATTATTGGTTGGTGCCACATTAAAATCAACCTTACTGCAATTGCTCTCTGGGTTTAACCTTAATTAAAAATATTTAATAAAATATGATAATGACAGATAATGATTATCTAAAATTATTTTAAACTTAAAATTAAAATTTAAATTCAACTCTAAAAAGTTTTCATTGCATTAAATAGATATATTTATGTTAGTATACTATATTTCTTACTCTTAAGTAAGCAATAGTTTTTCAGTGAGAACGGTGGGTGCTATTAAACGCATAGAGATAGCTAAATAAATGAATCATTTTAATTATACACAAAAATATATTATTCGTGATATATTTATTTTACGTAGCTCGTACAAATTCGCTTGGTACTTGCATGAATCCACATGTAACCAACCCGGTGCTATCTACTGTATTTTGTGAACTGTAACCTATAAACTTCACCCATAAACTGCAAATTTATTTCTAATTTTATCAACTTCCGATACTTATTTGTTTAACAATGATTTTTTTTTGTTTTAAGTTGAAGCAAACATCTATTAATGCACTAAAGATAAAACTTAAAAAAATATGAGAAGAAAAAATACTTGCAACATTTTGTTCCAATTGAGCAGCATGTATTAGCTTCGTACGTATTATAGCAAGTGCTGTTCAATTCCAATTCATTATCATTAAAACATTCCACATGAGCACACTCAATTTCAAAGTGTTTATTTGAATCATCCCCAAAACAAGAGCATATTTCACATGGATTACCAACATCAATTTCTTCTCCAATGTGATAGACACGTCTGTTGTAAACGCAACCTTAAAATATAGACAAATTTGTTAATCATGTTTGGTTAAAAAACACAATATTGTTTGTATCAGTGCAAAAAGTGTTAATTAATCTCTCTGAACACATTCATTGCACACATATATGGTTTTTCCCATATGGTTTTTCCCTAATGCAAAGTTAGCAATAAACCATTTTCGACCAAAACAGTTAAATAACCCTAAAAAAGATGATATTCAAACTGTTAAGAGAGGGAAAAAACGTTTATTGATTGTTAATTGTGGTGACTCGGTTATAAGTGTGGCTCTAACGGAATCACTCGGTGATGCTACACTGTTAGAAATTTCTTGGTAAAAATGGTTAAATAGCAATTTACTTAACTGTTGTTTAACCATTTTCGACCAAAGCAGTCAAATAACCTGAAAAAAGATGATATTCAAACTGTTAAGAGTGAGAAAAAAGAACGTTTATTGATTGTTTTTCTACAACTAGAATTCTAGCCGAGCCCACTAAGTCCACCTTATGAAGCTATTTAGTTCCGCGCAGCTGATTACATACTATAGCTAAGAGGACTAATCAGTCAATCTTATGACCGACTAAACAAGGGTTCGAATCCCGGCGTTAACACAACAATATTTCTTCCATTCCATCAATACATGGAGAGTTTCCAGTGACCTGCACTCTTCAAGTGACCCTTTAATATTGGAATACGAAACTATCATCAGCACTACATCCACAGAGCTCCAATGTTCATTTAAGTTATATTTTTGTGGTTTAGATACTATGCAAGTTGTAAATGGTTACAAAACCGTATCATATTTACGGTTTTTTAACCGTACTAATAGTAAACGGTTTCAAAACCGTAAAGGCAAAAAATGTTCCGAACTTTATTGGTAATCTGATGGACACTGCTATCCGTTATTTTACCATAATTCCAGAATGAAAATTCTAACAGTGTAAGTTATTTTACTTAGTTGTCTGTGTTTAAAAATATTAAAAACCAATCTCGGAATTTAAAACTTAAATAACTTGATACATAAACCAATTAATTTTATATTCATTCACGGTATAATTTATTGTATTTTAACCCCAAAATAACAATTCAATCTTATACACAAAAAATCTTGTATACAGCTCCTCTAATAAACATAGATTGATCTAATAACTCGTAACAAAACAACTGTCTTATCTAAATTATTGGCAAAATTTCTTCGAAATCTCAAATGCTTATTACATTAACTGATGTACGTACAGTGCGCAAAGAAGGGAAACACCTTTCTAACTTTTGATATAATGATCGGAATATCATTTATTTCAATATAATTATTGAAATATCATCGGATCAAATTACGGTATAAAGTATCGACACTTTGGGTGTACCATCCATGAAGTCCATTTTACCATAAAATAAATTTTTTCCGTATAACGTTATACCGTAAATTTCAGAGCAATATTTATTTAATTAGAGTGATTTAGTGATTTTATAGTAATTATTACTGTAAAACTTACGGCCAATCGAATTTTCTGCTCCGTAACATGATCTGGTAAAAATGGATTATACGGTAAAAAGTACCCGTGCCCTTAGTGTCAGTATTCTTTATTATTCTTAATTGTAAATGGTTTTTTTCTAACAATAGTATACTATTTATGTTTTCTTCCTAGCTAAAGGTAATTCAGTATTATACATTTGCTGTCTTAAGAATTTTAAGTTAACTAGGAGGCTTCGCCCCCTGCTCGCTAGCGCTCGCCAACCCTCGGAACTGCTTTCACAGTTCATTTCGGATTGCTTCGCAATCCAATGCTCGTTCATTGGATACGTTCTTAACGTCTAGCTTTTGTATACTTTTTTGAATACTGAAGTTCCGAAAACTTTTCCCTGTAGAAAATTCTAAACCTGCACATTTCAATATTAATTTGAAATTGCAAACAGTTCACATATTTTGCTTAATCACACTATTCTAAATTTCAGTTGTTGAGAAAAATAACTGTTGTAAGTTTTGTTTTAAAGTCTTTCCCACCAGAGGGCTAAAGCCATGTGTTGTAAAACAATATGAAATAGTAGTCTGCCACTGAACGCCGGATGTAAAGCATCGGATTTGATGAAGATAATTTTGTATTTTTAATTCTCTGAAGGGCGCCACCTTA